CTTAGTAAAATACAAGTATTTCAAGCATGTTTCATTAATAACTTAGTAAGTACTCAAGTAATCTCAATAAAACTTTATTCAAATACTGAATATGGTAGTATAATTATAATAAATACTTATTCATAGGGTAGAGTGTTGTAGAACTAGAAATACAAGTACTTAAAATGTATGTCTAAAGAAAGTAGAGTTGTAGTAAAGTTGTACATAGGATATCTCAACAAATACAAGAGCTACAACCTTATAACTTTGTGAAATTATACTACTGTATGATACCTTCCAATACGTCCTAGTATTACATAAAACAACTAACATATAGTAAAGATATATAGACTCTAATATTTGTACTATACTCTTAATAACAATTTACCTCCTTATTTTAAACCTCTCATATCTTATAATAATTTAATACTAATCTACACCTATTTAAAAAAGCCACTCTTATATTAATAACTTCTGTGGTTACATAGATATGAGACTACAAAATTATGTATATAAAGTATAGTGTATGTTAGCAACAGTGTAGAGGGGACCCAAAGGCTTAGTAAGAGGACTCAGGCTACAACTATCCTACACAACAGAAATACAGAATGTAAGTACTAGAACATAGTCAGAACTTGCAGAACAGGCAGAGAGAGAGAGTGAGACAAGAGTAGAGTATATAGAGTGAGCCTAAGAGTACAGGACTATCTAGAGTAGACAAGATCAAGACTATAAGACTAGTCTGATCTTGTATGCTTATATATACTAAACTACACAAGAGCACTCAGGGAGTATGAGCTACTAAGAATGATAAGTCATGAAGAATGAAAGAAAGGAAGGTCAAAGATAAAGGTACAAAGAATGAAGGGATAGACAAAGAGTAAGAGACTATAGAATGAACAAAGAATGAAGAGGTAGTCAAAGGAATGGAATGATGAAGTAAGGAAGGGTAGTAGTAAGAGTTAGTATACATATAGTTTATAGACAGTACTCTCAAGGGACAGAAGTCCTGAGTTCTAGTACAGAAGGGTGCAGAACACTTAGAACTGAAGGTACAAGAGTAGAGAACTATAATATTACCCTCCCTCTAAAACTAATCATTCTAATTAGTGAACATTAGACTTGGTTAGCAGCTCAGACATAGATCAGAACAGTAGGGCTTGAAAATCTGTAAGGCTGAGTTTGTACAGAGTACTAGGATGAAGCTAATAGAAATCTTAGATTGTCTTAGAAGTATGGGTAAGGTTCTTAGCAGGTTCCTAAGTGTACTCCTCAACTGGGTACCCTTTCTAGTAAACAAGGAATTTGAGTTTTCTATACAGTAGCTTAGTATTCACTATGTACTCTACTTTGTATTCTAGTTTGAAGCTAATAAGTTCTGGTAGAGACAGAGAGGGTCTTTGTTGTAAAGGAAAACTAGGATCATAGTACTAAGATAATAGAACCTTATTAAACACTAGGTGTATACACTTCTATGTTGTCAGAAGTTAGAGTTTGTAGGTAGAGGTACTAACCTTCTTTTTAATAATGAAGGGTCTAAAGTACTTGTTGTCCAACTTCTTCATTAGGTGATCCAAGGTCAGATTAGTGGCTTCTAGTATAATCTTGTTACTAGGCTAGTAATCCTTAGCTACAGACCTTTTCTAATCATAGTTCTACTTTATAACCTGTACTACCTTCTCTAAAAGAGTTTGTACATTCTCTCTAGTCCTGTATATCTGTTCTACAAAGTCTGTTACAGATTCAGAACTGACATTCTAGTTCAGAACTGTCCCCTAGTACAAATGTCTCTTATAATTGAGGAAGAACAGGAACTGTCCTGTTACAGAGTGTTACTAGTTATTATACACAAATTCTGTCAGAACTAACTATTCAGAACTATTCAGACTAATCCAATTGTTAATAATTAATGAACATTCAGAGGTAGAGCTTAATCTCCTGATTGACTCACTCAGTTTAACTGTCAGTCTGTAGGTAATATGTAGTAGAAGGGTTCCCTTGAATTCTAAGAAGTGTATACAAGTCTTGTATGAATTTTGACTCAAATTGTAGTCTGTAATTGTGAATGAGCTTCTAAGGGAGTCTGTATAACTAGAAAACATAATTCTAATAAATGTGTACTATACTTTTAGAAGTAAGTTCTGTTCAGGTTAGAACTGTGTAGACTTGCTTAGAGAATCAGTTAACAATCATACAGATAGTATTATAACTCTGAGACTCAGATAGCTTACTAATCAGGTCTACTAAGACTTCTTCCTAAGAGTGATCTAGGATTCAATACAGATGTAGGAGAGTCTAAACTCTTGTCTAGTAGGTTTTAGTCTGTTAGTATATATTATAACTAGTTATGTACTTTAGGATTTCCTTCTACATTCCTGACTACTAGTAGTTCTGAGTAATGAGTTCCTACATTTTGTGTTAGTCTAGATGTTCTACAGTTAGATTATTATAATAAGCTCAGACAATGTCCTTCTATAGCTTCTAATCCTTTAGAATGTACAGTTGGCCTTCCTAGTAAACCTGTCTATTCTCATCCTCCTCTTAATCCCTAACCTACTTTTCTAACTACTTTACTATAACCTAGTCCTGTGTGTGTCTTAGAGCTTACTATATACAGGTGATAAAGTTAACATTCTTAGATTTGAGTTGAATCTCTTAGATTGTCTTAGACACAAAATGGGAATTGTCTAGAAGAACAAGATTTTTATTATTATTCTCCCTCCTTTTATAACCTACTTGTCTTGAGAGTAAATTAGCTTTTGTCATTTGTGTTCTAGGTTTATAGGTTAGTATAAAGTTATAGTTCTACAGTTTTAACATCTAGTAAGCTTAGTAGTAGTTAAGCTTCTAAGGCACTTAGAAGTACTAGAGATTAAAGTGATTACTTTAAATCTTAAACTTCTGTACAGTACTAAGAAGATATTAATACTACTCCTTTAGGGAACAGACAATTGTAAAGAGTTCCTTATTATAGATAGGGTAGTTCTGTTCTATTACAGAGAGGGATTCTGATTGGAACACTATTAGACACTACTTTCTATTAATGAACTAGGACAGTACTACTCTATTTACAAAGTCAGAAGAGTTAGCTTTAACTTAGAACTTGTTTACAACTGTCAGAACTGTTAATACAGGCTTACTAGTAATAGTCTGTTTAAGAGACTCAAACACAGACTACTACTAATCATCCTATTACTAAGGAACATCTTTGCTAGTAAGATTGTAAAGGGGTTAGGTAATAGTACTAAAGTCTTAAATAAAGTATTAGTAGTAGTTTGTAAACTTAAAGAACACTTAGACCTGTTTCAGGTTCTAAGATTGTAACCAGTTCCAAACTACAGTTACTTTTACTGGATCTATACAGACCTCTCCTCTACTAATTACAAAGTCTAGATAATCTACTAACTCTTACACAAAAGAGTATTTTACTTCTTAGAGAAACAGTTTATTATCTTAGAGCTATTATAGAACTGCTCAGATTAGTCAGTAATAGTGTTTGACTGTTTAGGTGAAGATCAGAATATTGTTCAGATACACACTAACATACTCTGAGTTAATCAGATCTATAAGAATGTGATTTATGAATGACTAGAATGTTACAGACAAGTTAGTTAGTCTAAAGAATATTATAGTTAGTTTGTACAATCTACAATTAGTTCAGAACACAGTCTTCTACTCATCTCTGTCTTAGATCTGAATATTGTTGTATCCTTATTAAACATCTAACTTAGTAAAAACTCTAAATGTATGTGTCTTATTAATGAGCTTCTGAATCAGAAGGAGTGAGTACTTGTTTTTAATAGTACTCTTATTAAGACAATAATAATCCTAAACTAGGTAGAGCTTCTTATCTTTCTTTTTAACAAAGAAGAAAGGGGAGACTATAGAGGACTTTAAGAGTCAGATCTAACTGTTCTGAAGATTTTCCTGAAGGAACTTGTTAAGCACCTCCTACTTGTCTCTATTAAGTAGGTAGACCTTACAATCCTTAGGTAGGAAACCCTTAGTCAATTCAATTGTATAGTCTTAGAAACAGTGTTTAGGAAGCTAGTTAAATTCCTCTTTACTAAAAACTTTAGAGAACTCTTAGACAAAATCTAGTAGGCTGAGTCTATGTGTGTTCTAGAGTAGAGTTGTTCTAAGAGGGTTCTAGACTGGTTCTGTCTTAGACATCCTTCAGATTGACTCTGTTCTGTCTTAACTAGAATATGTATTTATATATCTATCCTAGTTGAAGAAGAACAACTAGTCACCTTTATTAGAACTGTTAGTAACATTAGAAGTGTTTGTATCTACTTAGAATAGTAGTATAAGATAGTTACAAGACTTAGAACACTAATCAAACACAAGTGTCTACTCTAACTAGTTAATAGTAGAGTTGTAAGTCTTAAACTATTCAAATCTAATAAAGACATCTGTCTTTCTAAGGTTAGTAACTCTAAACTTAATACTTTCCTTATAATCCTAAATAGTCATCTATAGTTAGACAAACTTAGTAATCCAACCATTCTAGTTTAGAGTTCTGTCTATATTATATACTAGGATTAGAAGTAGAACACATTAAGTAGAGAGGTAGTGTTCCTACACAAAGGCCTTGTTAATACACAAACT